AAAAATGATATGTTTCAGAGTAGTAATTGTTCAGCTGTTCAGTCTACCAGTAGAATAGTTGTGCATTTTCTTTCAGATCTTTACTGATACATAATTTCAATGCTTTTAATTTGGACCTGACACACACATACAGGACTCTCTCATGAGGGCAGTGATAATGTGACAAAAGTTCCAGCTGAATCTCACAACTGTAACACCAAAATGAACAACTGGGTCTCTATGGATAGAAATCACTTGTGAGAATGTTCATATAAAGCTTTTGTGTTTCTGTCACCAGCCCAGAGTGAGAAGTGAGAAAACTCAGGCAAAATTTTTTTTTTTTTTACTTCTGCCTTATCATTCCCAACTTTAGCTTTACCAAACTGAATGCAACAGAAAGAAACAAAAACAGCAAAAAAAACACATTAATGCTACATTTGTTTTTAACGGAGCACTCTGCGATCTTTTCTCTGAATGTGACGTACTCTGCGACCTTTGAAAGGCGGCAGCAAGTTGCATTTCAACAACTGGTTCTGGCACACTGACCTCCAGCTTGAAATGGCTGAATGCCTTTCTTGAGAATATAATATAATTCCTTCAAAATCCCCTAAATAGAGGAATTGTTTTTAGAAAAAAAATCCCCTGAGAATCCACTACTGCTTCTACGCTCAACACAAGAAATGAAACTGACTTTTACGTGGAACTGATTCACTTCTAATGTTATAGGTCTCAGCTTTGACTTGAAAGACTCTAAATATCCTTTGTTTTACCCAAAAGTTGATGCTGCCACTCATTCAGATCTGTGCATTATTCAGGTGAAACAAATAACAGTATAGATTTTTTTCTTTTCTTTAGACAGCACAAGGTTTTGGTAAAAGGTTTGAGTTTCCCAACTAATCTGTGGGCTGTAGTGCCAATGGGAGCGACCAGAAACCCGACCAGGTCTTTGTTAACGATGTGTCTAAATGTTCTCCGATATTAAAACATGACACCATTCTTTTTGTCATAAACAAATGGCCAATGAAGTCCAAAGAATGGAGTGATTGATGGCAGCAGCATAAATAAGAGAAGACAATAGCGTGAAGCAGAGATGACCAGCGTCTCACCTTATCACAGCCTCCTGTAGTGAGTCTCAGCTGTCTGTGAGATTAACAAGTGGCACGTTTGTTGCATTCATTGTTATTCCTAATGAATGACTGTTGTAAGATTGTATGTTTTTGTATGTTAATTGTTGTAGTAAGAACCACAGTCAATTCAATAATCAGCAGAATAACAATCAGCAGCAGCAGCAGCAGCACACCCGCCTTTTTTTTTTTTTTACCACTCCATCAATTTGCACAAACAATTTCTTTTTCTGTAATTAATTAACCTTAAAATGTTTTTGTTTTTTTTGCAAATTGTCTGATCTTCAGAGAAATTTGATTTAAAGTCAGGTTAATCTTTGTATTTTTGCAGTTGAACTTTAAAGATGTGAGCTTTAAATTGCATTTTTTTTAATGGTTACTGGGAAGTGGTTCCATTTATTTACATATTTATTTACTTATTCATTCATTCATTCATTCATTCATTCATTCATTCATTCATTCATTTTTTTGTATTAAAAATCCTGAAATCTTCTTCATCTGGTTCCTCTGTATTAGCCTGTGTTGTACTGAAGAAGTTTAAGAACAAATTCACTACCTCCATCTAGTGGTGGCAACTGTTGATTAAAAATCACTTTAGTTCCAGTTTGCCCAACAGACAAGTAAATAATAATGATTCAAACTTTGGTCTTTTCCAGTATTTGTAGCAAGCTTGCCTACAGATTCAAAAGATTCATCAATATTCTTCTGTATTTATCTGCAAGGGCACATAAATAAATATATATATATATAGGCCCAAAATGTAAAACTACTTCCTTCATTTTCTGCCACGGTTAAGCAGCAGGTGCTTTTCTTTGAGAAGATATATATTCTTTTTTCAGTTTCAGCCAAGTGTTTTGTTTGTTTTCTCTCACAATCCACAGACATGCAGACATATATTTAGGCATATCTCTGCCTCAGCTGTGTAGGTTTTATCTGAGTGATGAGGAAAAAGAGATGAATAAATCTATATTCCACTAATAATGAGGAGCTAACTGTCATTCATGCTGGTTTGTCAATGAGGCTACTTCACACATAAGGGTATACGGGTTTGAATGGTAATACACCTGATTCCTCTAATCCGAGAGAGAGGCAGAAGAGCTCAAGGTGGCAGATGGCCACACTAAGCACCTGCCGATGGGTTTTATCTGCCCTATAACTGTTTGGATCAAGCCAATTAGGCCAGCACTGCAGAAACAAGACGGAGGCAAAGCAGCAGAGGAACAAGAGTGTTGGAGCAACCAAAGCCTGCAAGTGGACAAACACAGCCTCTAAGGATGAGTCCTCTGGCATAAACAGGATTTATCTGATCATCGATGTGGATCCAAAACAACTTTGTGAACCAGATGGAGTTAATGGACGATCTTCTGGAGGACTGGTCAGAGTCTCTGGACGTTTTTGGGTCAGTGTGGATGAATGCACTGGGTGTGTCCGGAGCAGTTGAAGACTGGTCTGTTTGTTTGAATATCGTAGAGCATCTGTGCCTGGATCTGCTGGGCCACGTGGACTTTTTGTTGGAGCACCGCACTGTCTGCTTCAACATACTGGGCCCGCTGTACGCCGAGGACCCATATGTGTGGATGTACCTCCCCCACTGAAAAGGAGTGAAGATGTTTTTCTTTCTGTGCGTCTGAATTCTGCATTTTTTAAACTTTGCTGGCTGGAAAATGTTTAGACCAAGAGGGAAGCCCAAAGCTGTGCAGCAACAAGAACGTATTTATTTCACTTTGACTTCAGTTGCCTCTGCTTTAACCCAAATATAAGGCATTAAAGAGTGAAAGGGAAGATGACAGAAATGGCATCAATACAATTTTATATACTTTAAGGAAAATGTAAGCAAAATATACGTTTATCATGTGAATGTTTCATGTTTCAGGACTGAGCAACTGTGGTTTGTTTGTACTTCTGTGCTCCAATGCTGCATTGAATTATTTCTTTTCAGAATGAACCAAACAATAGTATTGTTAGGAGCTACTGTAATTACATACATGGAAAGCGTACTGGAACTTGTTTCTGCAGTCACAGTGTGCTCAGACATTGTTTTTTGCACCAGTTGTGAATTTGATGTGGAACCCAACAATTGTACATCAAATACTTAAGAACCAAATGAGACTGAAGCAACACGTTTCTAAAAAAATTTGAAAATTACGTGATCAATATTGAGGAGTGTCTGGAAGAAGTATCCATCCATCCATTATCTATACACCGCTTAATCCTCACTAGGGTCACAGGGGGGCTGGAGTCTATCCCAGCTGACTAAGGGCATAGGCAGGTCATCAGTCTATCGCAGGGCTACACTTAGAGACAGACAACCAAGCACACTACGGACAATTTAGAATCAGCAATTAACCTCAGCATGTTTTTGGACTGTGTGGGAGGAAGCCGGAGAACCTGGAGAGAACCCACGCTGCACGTGGAGAACATGCAAATTCCACACAGAAAGATCCCGGGTGTCCTCACCAGGACGCGAACTGGCGGCCTTCTAGCTGCGAGGTGACGATGCTAACCACCGCTCCACCTTGCAGCCCCTGGAAGAAGTGTTTTAGTTTATTTTATTCTGGGTAAATTTGCATCAAAATGGTCGGATCAGTCACCATGACTATACAACAATTATGTATGATGTGTATTTTTGAGTGTTACTGCCACTGGAAGCCTTTGCAAATGAATACAGTTGAAACTACTGGATTTAAAAGACAGTTTGGAAAGTGGTGAACATGTTATTGTGTATGCTAAATACTTTTTCTCTGATTAAACGTCAGGATGAATATCTGCAAAACTCTTGGCATAATTGTTTTGTGTGATAATTCAGTGTGTGAATCTGCAAAGAGAAACTGAAACAGTGCTTCTGCAATAAACTGACGCATCCTGTTTTAAATTAATGCTCAAGAGTCGAGGTGGGATTGTGCACAAGCTTCATTTTCATCTTAATCATTCCATACTTACATGTTGCCATTTAAACTACACAGTATTTTGCTAAGTGTAACACTGTCAGGCTGGTAGAACAAGTACTTGTTAGGTCTAACATAAGATTAAATGTATATGTCCTATAAAGACAGCATAACTTGTCAAGTCAAAAGTGTAAACGTATGACAGCTTCTCCTTTAGACCTTTTACTCTACCCATGATTTAAATGAAAAGTACAGTGAACCCCGACTAAAAAACTGTATATTTTGCAGGTCATACTAATAACTGACATTTTGCTTTTAAATTAATCTATTAAATCCTCAGTCAGAAAATTTAAGTAGTGCAATTTCTATATTTTATTTCTATTTTACTTAGAATTTATATTACGTTCTAAGTAAGTAATCGTTGCAAGCTTGTTAGTTATGCATAACATTAATTTTATTTTCAAACGTTGTTGTTGCTCCTACTTTAATTGTTATATAAATATTAGACAACACACAGAAACCTAACAAAAATCCTACTCTGACACTTTCACATATTACAAAAAATGTATTTGTTGTTTTTTTTCTTCAAACTAATGGATGAGCTCATGGATGACTCTCATATAAACAATAAAACGTATTTTGTATGTATATCTTTTTTTTTAAAAAAAACAAAAAAACATTAAGACTAATTTCAGATTGTGAAAATAGGATAGAACAGAATAGAATAGAATAAAATATTTTGTATTAATATGTTAGAATATTACATTAACATAATTTCAAAACTTTTTTTTCAGTAAAATGATTAACAGAGTTCCAGTAGTTTTCAAAAACAGGTTTAAGAGTCAGTTTTGTTGTTTTTAAAGTAATTCCTTTGCAATATATTCCAATATGTGATTATTTAATAGAACTACAATACGTCCTGTTTACCAGTGTGTTGCCTACACTACCCACAATTCCGCGCTGCCGCTACGTCTGTTACGTAACGTCGTTTCAGCGGTTGTGTACATTTGTCGAGGTGGACTCCGGGAGAACATAATGTGACAGTAAATTCAGATAGTTCTTTGGTTTACAAGCTTCAGCCTGAGAAAAGAATCTGAAAAGGTAAGAATGACTTCTGTTCTGCACGTTGGTTGTTCGTAAAGCAGCTATAACACACAAGAGATCTACTGACCGAGACACATAACACTCTGAAACGATCGCTATGTATTTATTTTTTAAATGTAATTGAATTTTTTTTCAGTCAAACATGACCACAGTGTCTAACATTTATGAAAACAATTAGTGGTCACTAAAATCCCAAAAGTAAAAAATAGATTCGTAAGCAGTTTTAAATAAACAGTAAAATTGCCTGTTATTATTTTTAAAAAATCAATACAGGGTCCAGTATTGATCCCATAGAGCCTCTGTGTGTGGGTTTGCGAGATTTAGTGTATGTTTAACCAGAAAAAATGAATTCAAAGGTAATGTTTTTGCTGAATTGTATAAATACATCATGCTGTTTTAGACTTCTGAGTGTATGTTTCCTGTTATTCCTGGCACCCATTCATTTATTTACTTCTCTTAAATTAACAAGGCTCTTTAATCTTATTGGTACCCCATCACACTTAGCATCAAATCAGCTTTAATAGCTGTCACTGTGGTATTTCATGTTGCAGTGCAGGTAGATTTAACGAGAACACACCTGAAATACCTTATTTGCCTTTTCCCTTATGTGTACTCTTTGTCCAGCTCTTTCTCTGGTTATTTTCTTTTTCTCTGCTCCCTCCTCACCACCTCACCCTTTACCCCGAGTGTCCAGGTCAAGCTGTTTCGCCCTGTTATCCAGCAGATAAGAGCCGATAAGCTCCCCTCTTGTCTCTTTCCCTCAGCCTCTTGGCCTCCAGTAAGTCTGTCATCATGACTTCTTGACATCACTCCTCACCATGAGTGGAGCTGCGCTGGCCGTCGTGGTCGTGGTTGTTTTCTTCTTGGCCCTCTGCCTCCTCCAGCGTTATGGAGACTTGCGGAAGCAGCAGCGGTTGGTGCTGTTGGGGACGCTGCTGTCCTGGTACCTCTGCTTCCTCATCGTCTTCATCCTGCCACTTGATGTCAGCACGGTATGAGACCTCGGCAGATGTGTGATGCATTTATCTACACATTGTCTTTTATTTGCGATAGAATATTGTCTCAGAAAAACAGGATGAACAAGCGATTGTGTGTACTTTTGAGAATAATCTCTTACTGATTGAGGTTGAGCTGTGTGTGTGTGTTTACACTGCTCTTCTCTGTACAATTTGACATTTAGCTGTGTAAACTCTGCTCTTTTCCCAGACCATCTACAAGCAGTGTGTTCTTGACAAGGCCAACCACACTGGTACTGTAACCGGAATAAGACGCTTAGCTCACACTGGGGCTGACTCATCTCTTCATTCCTCTGACAGGTAAGATATTGTCTGGTGTATCAGAACCAGGACCACAGTTTTTTTTTACTTTCAAGGCGATTCATTCCTCCAGCTGCGTTCTGAGGCCATCCAGCACGATACATGATGATTAATTTATTGGCAAAAGCTGCAAATATTCAGTTTGTCAGCTCTTGTCTTTTGCAAAGCAGCATTCTGTGCGGCTATTCTATTTTTTTCATTTTTTATTTCCAGAGATTTTCACTACACGCAGTTGCTTTGAGTCAGTGAAACCATATATTTGATGCTATTGAATTTGCTGTGGGCTTTATTCTTAGCAGCTTGTCGTATTATACACTCAGTTCTTCTGTTCTACTGCTTTGTCAGTTTGATGTTGTCAAGCTGTGTAGATTTAATAAATAATGACAATTCAACAGTCAGATGGAGAGAATAGCTTGCCTGTTGTGTTACTAGATGCATTATCAGTGCAGCTGTTGTCATTGTCTGTAATCTCTTCAGTTTTTTTAATTTGAGGGCTTCGTACAAAAGGTTTCCTGCGTGACTGTGTGATTGTATTTGCTCAGTAGTATTGTATTAGTGCAGTCAAGGCCAAAGCAGAGTGTCTGGTCATGGAAGTGTTTGTTAGTTTGTGATAGAGTCTCTACATTTGATTATTACTGTGTTTTTTTTTTTTTTCTTTTTTCTTGTGGAATTAAATTCTGCCATTACTGTGCAGATAGTGTTGGTGTCATCTTTCTAAGTGAAAGATATTCATGAGTTTTCAGTACGACTTCTACTAATATAATGAGTGAACTAAAATCAATTTACAACCTGCACCTAAACTGTATATATGTGTAAATATGTTTTCTTTCAGAGGTTGATATTTCTTTTTATTATACTTTGATACTTACTGATATATTACCTTTTATGCATCTTTTTGTTCTTTATTTAAATTTTAATCTGATTATATTTCTGTCTTTATTCTTGGGCAGGAAACGTGCATGCAACGAAAAAGAATTTCCCCTCGAGGATAAACAAAGTATTTCTGATTCAGATTCTAAATTTGAATTTATGGTGTCAGCAGCACCATGACTTTTCACGAACAGTGCCGCACTTTATCTGTCTGTTTAGGTTTAATTATGACGATTTTCTTTACTAATTTGAGCTGACCCTTTAAGGCAGCAAAGTGTTTTTATTTATTTTTTTTAGATTTTCTGCCTTTTTTAAACATCAAGTGATGGCATCAAAAGTGACACTACATATCAGAGAGTGTGTTTCAAGGCATATGATGTGAGCAAACTAATGTTTCACAGCAATGACGATGATTAACCCAAGTCTAAATATGCCAGAAGTACTGTAAACGGCTTTATTGTTGCTCTATGGCACTGTGTGTGTTAACATGCCTATAATGTTCTGTGTGTTTATGTGTTTACAGTGGCACAAAGGGGTGTGTGAAGCCCTGGAGTTACATTCCGGATGGTGTCCTACCCGTGTTTTGGAGAGTTGTATACTGGACGTCCCAGTTTTTAACATGGTGAGAGGTCAACAACCTACGACTGTGACTATAACTGCTGTAGTTATAAAACAGTTTGATTCTGGTGTACTGACTCTCTCCATACTGTGTGTGTGTTTGTTTACAGGCTACTGCTGCCCTTCATGCAGTCCTATGCACGGTCGGGAGCTTTCTCTGTGGTTGGAAAGATCAAAACAGCTCTAATTGAAAATGCAATTTATTACGGCACGTACCTCCTCATCTTCATCTCTCTGCTCATCTATGTGACGGCTCACTCACGCTGGAATCACACATGGTATGTCAAATGTACCTTCATTCAAATAGAAATAAGTAAAATGTGCACTATTTTGCCAGTCTATTGATTAACTTTGTCAAACTCCTGCAGGGCAGAGCTCCTGACCATCGGTATCACAGCTGCCAATACCTGGGGCCTCTTCCTTCTGGTGTTGTTGCTGGGCTACGGTCTGGTGGAGATCCCACGCTCTTACTGGCTCTCATCTTCCCATGTTTACTTGCTCTCCAAGACCTACTTCAAAGCAGCAAAAATGGCTACAGAGAAGGTAGCAGCGGAGGAGAACTTAGCAGATGTCATGGAGGTGAGGATCTATAAACGGCTCCGTGCTGAAATAGTCTTCAGAGAACAAGTTCCAGCAAGAGCTAAATCAGAAAATGTTGAAAAATCTTTCAATACTTTGTATGCTATTTATGTATCAACCATGTGTTTGTGTCATTTTGCCTGAAGCTTTTACTCTGATATTATTAACAGGAGGTGGCAGGAGTCCATGAATCTGTCAGGTACAACCACATCCTCAGGAAGTGTGTCGACACCATTCTGACAAAGGTGAGAAATACACCAAGCCACTTGTTCATGAAACCGTTTTTTTCGAAGCAACACAAGTTTCCTTTTCATGTGTACACATTCGATTTAATATTGCATTTATAGTTTGTACAGTAGCGCTCAATGGATCAGCTTTCATCTCATTTCAGTGTCCAACTGAGTACCAAGATGAGATGGGGAGAAATGTGGAAAGCTCTCGTGGGGAAGAGAATGCGCTTCCCACCAAAAGAACCTTATTTAACCTGCATAAAAAAGTAAGTATTTAGACTTTTTAAAGTAGTAAGTGTAAAAAATATGACAGCATATGGAAATGTGAATAACAATCATTTCCCTGTGTTGTCTGTATCTGTTGTGTGTTTCAGGTCATTTCTGCGGTGCAGAGACACAGACAGACTCAGGTTCAATGGTCCATCTTGTTAGATGAGGCCTTTCATCTGGAGGATGTTGCTAAAAGTAAGAGCAGCCCGCTCCGACACTTCACCCACAGCTTCCCTTTGGCACATCCAAACTGGATCCGCAGGTTCATCTACACGCCCACTGTGGGTGAGTTCAGTCAGCGCCAAAGTCCTAAATTCAGAGATGGAGTAAATATGTTGGCTCAGCTGCTTTACTATGTGCAAGTAAAAGCACTTGATACATGACAAACTTCTGGATAAACCTTGTTCTTTCATAGACTTTTAAGTTGAAAAGCTTGCCAGTGTCTCCTTAACTCAAGTATTAAGTTTTTATTTCCACCGATGTTTGAATTTCCTGACAATCTTGAATGCTATTCAATCATTTTGGCCTTCTAGTAAGTATAAATGCAGATCCTGGGTGCCAGACAAATGCACTGCTTTATTACCAAGGTGTTGTCTCTAACTAGCAGTGGTTGAAATAAATGTCTTTTTTGAACTAGTCATGCCACGTTTAATCGTTTCAGCACATTATATTTTCTTTGACAGCTCAGCAGAAGCTTTGTATTGGCTTCATGTCCCAAAGAATTCCTCCAGTACAGCTGAATTAATGTGGTCACTGTCTTTGAAACGCTTATAAAACTTAAAATTATTCATTCAGTCTCGGTTTTAGTAAGGTGGAAGTTCTGCTTTAGAGTGGCAAAAAACTAATGTTAGAGAACCATGGTATGATTCAACTCTTTGGAGTGTATTGTTATTAAAATGTTATTTATTGGCAGCTCTCATAATCTCATTATTGGTAGAAAAGAAAGAGACACACTGGATCCATAAAAACTGTTATTTCTATGAAGGATATAAACCAGACTTCAGTCTTTACAGCATAAATATGAGTTATTAGAATCCATACCTTTAGTATTTGATGTGTGTAACTGAGATGCCAGTTTGAATGTTCCTCCATCATTTACATTTATGCATGTATCTGTGTGTGTCTCTGTGGTGCTCAGAGTGGTACTGGGAGTGTGTGTTCCGACAGGGTTTCTGCAGGCTGCTGGCGGTGCTCCTGTGTCTCCTGTCGGCAGCAGTGGTCTGGTCCGAGTGCACCTTCTTCAGCACACACCCTGTCCTCTCTCTGTTTGCCGTCCTTATTCAGATGGCTGAAAAACACTACAACTACATCTGCATTGAGGTAAGCACGTGCAATGGAATTTCTGTTTATTTTTTATACCTTTAGTAGACTTTTTTTTGCAAATACACAAATCCTTGCTTTGTAAACACGTAATACATTGAATTAATCCAACTAACTTGTCCACTTTCCACCTGTTTTTTTTTGTTTCTTTCCACCAGGTGGCTTGCTTTGTCATTATCCTCTTCATGTGCGTGTGCGTCTACTCCACAGTTTTCAGGATACGAGTTTTCAACTATTATAATCTGGTGCCACATCACCAGACTGATGCTTACAGCCTGCAGTTCAGTGGCATGTATGTCCATCACATTATCTTTATTATATATCACATTTTGAAATATGGTCTTAGTTCAATTAGTCAAATGTTGTTTAAAGTCTTCAGCATCACGTTGTACACATTGTTTGCATGCTGTTTTGTTTGTTCACACCTGTGAACAGTGTTAAGATCACTTTCCAAGGAGGAAGCACAATTCACTGCTGTCTTCTCACATTGTGTTACCTGCTTGTATTGTATGTTTTTTTCTGCTCAGGTTGTTTTGTCGTCTGACTCCTCCGCTGTGCCTTAACTTCCTGGGCCTGATTCACATGGACTCTGCCGTCTCGCACCAGGACAGAATACCGACGTCCTACACTTATGTGGGTTCCACATGTTCAACACACAACTCAGGCAGTCATACTGATAAACATACACAATGCACCTGTAACATACAAGAAATACAGAATGTGCATGAAACATATAAAAATGTAAAATCCTCTTTGAACAAATGTAGTGATGCACTGTCTGTTTTTCCTTCCGTCTGTCAGATTATGGGCTCCATGCGCCTGCTGTCTGTCATATCGGATGGCTTCTACATTTATTACCCCATGCTGGTGTTGCTGCTCTGTTTTGCCACTTTTTACAAGTAAGCTGACAACTACTAACAACTAAATACTGTTTTCATAGATTTAATTGAAAGACTACAATCAAATGTAGTTTGGATTATCTGCCTGCTAAAGCCAGACCAGTATATCTGCTGATGTTAGGTTGACCAGTCTATTTTTTAACTTTGAAATGTCCCGTTAAATTACATACTGGTCCAAATTACAAAAAAAACCAACACATCATGACGTGTCACATGTTTGTGTTAAATAAATATTAAATATACATCATTATCTAATTTTAAACTTCCAAGTAGTGACATCAGCATCAGCTTACAAAAATTGGTATCACTTTTGTTGTGGAAATTCTGGAAGAGGTTGAGCAATTTTTCTTTCACAATTTTGGCTGTAAAGTATGTATAAAGTAAATATTCACCTGTGATAAGTGAAGCATTATGCAAATGTAGGACATTGATTTTTGCACAATAAGCTTGAAATACAATACTTTCATCTTCTTCTTTTACAATACATGTGTCAAGTACAATGACAAAGAACACCTCTTTTTCCTCGTATTCGTTGTCCTGTATCAGTGCCCAGCTGTGGTTAGATATGCACACTATCAACCTCTTTGCCACAGACAGGATTGCACCAGTGTATCAGTTTGCCTGCACAGGTCATGTAGTCCGATCAGCTGATGGATTATTGATTAACATCAAGTCTGCTCTGAGAACCCTTTAAGGTTGAATTGTGTTTTTTATGTTGCACATTAAGAACATACTGTGTGTTTACCAGTGTGTTTGTCATTTTGTGTGTTTCTTGGTGCTTCTAGTCTGGGCTCTCGCTGTTTGAACCTCCTGGGCTTGTATCAGTACATTGCTAACGATGAATTGGCCTCTGACCTGGTGGATGAAGGCAAGGAGCTCATCAGAAGAGGTAGTTTCATCGCACATCCAATCACTTGCTATTTCTGACTGCTCAAAGTGGCCACGTTTGTTTATATCATTTAATAACTTTTGCATTTAAAAAAATGCTCCGTTGTTATAGATGTAATCAGTTATTTAGTTTTTATAGATAGCAAGTTCTTTCTTGGCTTGTTTTTTTTATCATATATCTCTTTTTTGTAACTTCTCTCATAACTCATTAATGATCCGCTCTGGTAAAAATCTTGTTTTTGTGGGGTTTTTTTTTTAACTTTGTCAACGTGTCCCCATGGTGTTTTTTTATATGCTAGAGGACATATAATGTGCACAATAAGCAGTCAGTTTCATTGCTGATCGTACTGATGTCAGTCTTAGAAATGTGGATTCAGAATTTTCAGGATTTAATACATAATAAACCAAAGGAACCAATCCTGTCAACTTGTGGGATCCATATCAGGGAGAAGCAGAGATATAGAAATGGATTGTTTTCAGCTGCAAAAGGAAACATTGTGAGCCTTTATGTAACAGTAGTGACACATTATTAGCGGTTTATATCGTCATCCAGCTGAAGGTTCATGTCATCTATTTTCTATTTATTTTACTAAAGTTGTAGAGAGCAACTAATAAAATACATTACCATTCTAATACACAGACTTATACAGACTATTTGCTCTTCCTCACAAACAGTTTCTGGTTTGAACATACATGACTCAACTGTACTTGTGCAACTTTCCATTGTGTAATGAAGAGATGTTTTACAGTGTTCAAGAAGCAGAGTGAAGCTGCAAGTGAGAGTCAGTGAGGTGTGTAGAAAAGAAGCAGGGATGAATTTGGATATTGAGGAGGCAAAGGTGTAAAGTTACATGTAAGGCACAGAGGGATTCGTGTCATTGAAAAACCTTCTAAATATATAATTTTAATGGTCAGTGTCAGGAGAGGAAGTTTGACCGTGTAAAAGCAATATTATCTGCTTTTTAATTCATTCACCTGCTTTAATTTTAAGAAACAGAAATGTACTTATTCAACTTTTTAACGATATGTTTTACAATGCGTTCCTTTTGTAGAAAGGAGGAGAAGACAGAAAGCTGAGGATGGACAAAATCGAAGATTGGTGAGAAAATTGTACACATCACATCAAACAGTTTCTCTCACTATTTTGTCAGAGGGCGAGAAAATATGAAATATGCTGTTGCAGTATGTTGCCTCACTGGTTTTACTGGTTTGTGTTAAGTGTGCCTGTTTTGTTCCCTGTTCCAGGCCTGGAGGGAGCAGTATGGAGTCCAGGGGGCCGCTGGGAGGACTAGAGCCGGTTACACCGAGTTAAAGGATGAACAGGCCAGTCCTGCATTAGAGAACAAGAAAAATGGTAGGAATGTTAGAAATCTACAAGAACCTCTGAATGAAATATTTTTGTGTTGCTCAGAGTTCACAAACTGAATTTAATCTTTTTTTTTTGTGTAGTTTTAAGAGTTTGTTTATCGTTGACCGCTATTGAACCAGATATCTGCCATTTCACCCATATAGCACCCCACCCACATCAGGTACACGTACATACAAATACTGCTGTGTTTCAGGTTAGGTTACTTTGGAACATGCACAACCTGCTGACTCTCTGTCTCCAGCAATTCCCACAGGAATTTTATTTCTCAGTTTCAGGTGTCGGGGACTAAAGTTAAAGCAGCTTATCCTACAGAAATAAAATAATTGTGCAAGCCCAACAAAAATAGTGACACTTTCTGTGTGATTTCTGTCCCTGTCGAGTCTGAATTCATGCAGCATTTTTGTCATCTTACAACTGTTTCCTCTTTGTTCTCATTCAAACAAATCTTTTGCGGATCAAGATCACTTAAATCCACCAAGATGTCTTTGTGCTAACAGTGTTGTGTGTATATATTCATCTTTGTCATTCTCAGGTAATAAGTACACTAGAAGAGATGGAAAGACGGAGGAGGAGCAGCAGGCCAGCTTACTGCAGGACTACTCCAGTGACGAGGGATCGCCAAACAGAAGGTGCACCAAACTGAACATGTTTAATGTGTGCTTAAAGCTGAATAGCATTATGTCATCCACAGCTAAATCATATGACTGTCTTTCTGTGTCACTTACTCTGTGTCTCTGTGTTTGACATCATAGATCCCCAGGAGGACGTTACCTGTCTCTGTCACCTCCACTGAAGGGCATCTTTGACGATGTTTGATAGACTGAGGATGCAGGGAATGCAAAAAGCTTGAACACGAATGAATAATTTAAGCGTAAATTATTTCCAAGAAAGTCTGAATCCAAAGGATTATATCTCAGGAAATAAAGAGACTGTATCTGAGATGTGCACATGTTATCAGGTAATGGATGAAAGTGAAAACCACAGCATTAATAAAACGTTTTATAAGCTAGCTGGCTTCTTTTACTGGTTCATACAAGGAGATTGACAACTGTTAAGGGATGTTTCTCATCCAGAGCCTTAACCTGTTTGTGTACAGCCAATCCTTTTTGTATTCTTGAAGTAATGTTTTGAATAGTTGCGTACCAGATTGGAGGATGAAAGAGAATACAGTACACTATCTAAATGTATGCCATGGATACCTTCTTTTTTCTTAAAAATGAAATTGACTACTGTACCCGAGATGAAATGAAACATGCACACAAGGGAAATATATTTGCATCTTCCATCTTTTATGTTGAACACATTGTGTAAATAGACTGTATGTGGACTATATTTTCCAAAAGACATGACTTGTATGTAATGCAGTGTCCAGTTATTTTCTGTGAGGGTGTGATTGTACGGTAAACATAATCCTCCTACATATTTATTTTATCTTCACTTGGATTGTGAATGACCTCAAATGTGATGCACCAGTAAACATCCCTCACATCAATAATATCCTCACTGTAATATATAAAGTATTCTGAGTGACTGTGAAATAATATGGCCATATTTAAGACAGTGTTCATGTTTGATATTTTTGGGGGGGATTTTTTAAAATTATTTTTTTCTATTATTTTTAAATTCTCTATCTAGAAAAAATAATGTTTTGTAAATTGCAGTGGAACATACATTCATGTATTCTAATTATTCGGGGCACAGTGAATCTACATTAAGGCAAAAAATGTATATATTTTATGACTTTGTGAATTAAATAATATTGGTTTACTTTGTGGTTACTTTTGATTTTTTTAATTACAGTTTTGCATGACATTTAAATTACCTTTTTAATGGGTCCAAAAGTAATTTTATGAAATTAATTTAGTTCTATTTTAATCTAATTAAACATCGAATTCATCATACTAACAGGTACATTTACCCGTGTTGCCTTCAAATGCTCTTCGTAAAGTGTGATATTTGGTAGTTGACGTGTCTTGGAATAGACACAGACAAAGTGCTTTGAGTTTGAAATATGAACATATACTTTGCAGCAAAATCCTATACCCTTAATTTAATCTAGAAACCACTTTTACAAAGGTACTTTGTACATTATGGGTTCAATATGTTTTGGATTTTTCGATTTCCAGTTTTTCGTACACCACGTAGACGCAGCACCAGATCGTCTTCGTCCCAGTCAAGCAAAATACACACAGAGACTCGGCTGTTTGTATTGCAAGAATGGATACGAGCTAACGACCTGGAGCTAATGCTTTGTTAATTACCAGAAAGACGCGGTGAGATTGTCAAATATATCACCAAGTATCACTCAAAACATTTGGTTCCTTTTTCGGACTGTCGAAATACCTGGTAAGTGGAGGGTTTAGCTGCTAGCATTAGCTGAGTGTTAAGTGCTAACGACGTTAGCGTTAGCTTGCAACGTAGAGTGGCTATGCCGGTTGCTTTCCGCACTAAGTCGTATAATGGAACTGGCAAAATTATGCTCAGTTCAGTACAATGCTTTGTTGCTTCGGCTTCCAAACTTTTGATAGATGGTACAATATATGTCTGACTTCTTAAGTGTGTGTGATGGCTGGTATTATCAGCTGTAGTGGTACAATTTCCGAACTCATTTCCTAACCTGCGTTTAGCTGAGTAAAAGGAGAGATCCTTTTTGCTAGCTTTTAAATATTAACAGTGACTAACGTTAAGAAGGTGTGACCGGTTACTTTAACATAAAATGTTAAAGATATAACGTGGCTCCAGGCCTGTCCTGTGGTTTTGTATTATACGACAGGATTTGGTATCGCAGTGGTGATTTGTAAGCCTGAGCTGAGATTGACTGTCCTATTATACTGTAAAGTTACTGCTGCTGTGCATCTGCTTTAACATCAACACCATACAGTAGGCTCGCACCACCTCCTCCTTTTCTCCTTCAGGTAAATCTGATCCTAAGTATTTTCAGTAACGTGTCGTTTTTCAGCCACTGTGTCGTGATGTTAAAGTCTGGTTATATTGTGGTCTAAGGGAAATCCGCAGGGAGTCCTCTACGAAACAGATTACCTTTTGTTTAGCATATTTCCTTGCACCATTAGCATGCCCGGGTCATTTGCATATTGCAGGAGCCCAAGCATGAGAATTAAGGTTATGCAGATTGACTACACAGACAGACTGCCCTCCTACAACCAGACAGTATCCTTAAATAGTTGGTTGCTACATTTCAGCACACATGGGCCTCCTGGTGTCCTTACTTTATCTGCAAATTCCAATATTTTAAGCCAGTCAGCACTTTTAGAAACAATCAGTCTTTTTGCTCTCTATAGTGTCGAGTATTTGGCAGTGTGACTGTGCAGGTGTGTGCTATAAATGTTACTGACATTGTGATGGTGATATTGGTCCATATAGGAACAAAGCTGCACATATGCAGTGTCTCTAATGGAGTTGCTAAACATATCCTGATGTCTGTCTGTATGGTCAGATGACATTTCCTGTGCTCAGTGTTTTGTGTTTTTGCTGACACAAAGGACACAAGCTTGGTCTGTCATCAGCGTTATAGAAGCAGAAGTAGCTTACTACTCCTTGCAGACCTCATATTGAGCTCTTTACATCCAAAAGTCTACCTAAAAAACCCGAAACTAATGCAGACTCCTGTACTGATCTTTACAAGAGATCCTGTATTAGGTGCACGGCTTATTGGGAGTATGTGGACTAATAATATAATGAAATGGGAAAAGAGAAGATAAGAAAATAAACTAAAATAAGACTTTCCATAATGAGCAAACATCTGGCTTGCATTGCAGCGTCAATTTATTCACTTCCAGTAGATTTGCTGGTGTGTATTCTCGCAACACTGGCTATACGTCATCTTATCATCTAAAAGAGCACTGGTTATATAATGACCTAAGTGTTTTTTCTGTTTCCACACCACACCCTCATGGCAGCACCAGACAGGAAGAAATCACGAAATGCCGATTTTCTATCTTACTAATCACAATCATCATATTACTCTTATATGTAGTTTCTTGAACATGAAATGATTAAAACATGAAATAATAGAATCAGTGTAAAGTGTGCTGACCCCGGCTGTGGTTTTTGTGTCTTCCAGTTTGTAGACAGCGATGGGAGGACTGGGAAACGGGCGTCGTGGAGGGAGATCGCCACCTCTGATGATTGCCGCTCTAATCGCCTGTATCTTGGTTCTGGGCTTCAACTACTGGGTGTCAAGTTCCCGCAACCTGGAGCTACAAGTAGGTTAACCTGTGTGTGTGTTTCTGTGGCTTTTTAGGTGTGTAACTGACAATGTCACCTTTAAATAGTTACGGGAACCCCCCCCCCCCATAAAAAACCCACATGGTGCTCTAAAATGTGAGGTTACTGTTTGCTCTGAAGTGAATATGTGGTTAATAAGAAGGTGAATGCAGCTTGAAGTACCTTGTATTGTAAATCATTATCAGTCAGTTCATTTGTTGTCTTGGAACAGATATGTAGGTCCTGCAGTGACAGCTTCCGGCTTCCATCATTTGCCTAGTCTGATGTGTTTGCAGGCTCTACGGCGATGAAACAAGTTGACCTTTTAACCTTACTTTGTCACTGCGGTTGTAAAAACCAGTGACAAGATTCCCTTCTGCAAAAGTTCGATAATTGCTGTCCTTAAAGTTCCTCATTTTTGCTCGAGTGTTTTCAGAGTTTAATTTGGTGCTTTTTGGGCTGTTTTATTTCTTTTTACCACTTTCACAATAACCTATTCATTTGAAACACATCATAATGCAGGTCACTGTAAGGAACTAAGTTCTTGGGCATAAATGACATTAAAGCGCAAAAAGCAGATGAGATGCTTGTATTGTCTTATTATAATCTGAATTTCTGTCAGTTCCTCGGTCCCCAGTGTTTTTTCCACAGTGTCACTGCTGAGTTGGATTGATGTTATCACTACTTGTGTCTAAATAATATGAGTTGAGTGCAGGTAAACTACCTGTAAAAGAAAAGAGAAAGTAGTCAATTACACTGAACCAATCGTATCCTTTTCATCACTGTGTGTGTGTGTGTGGCACAGACTAAGCTCTATGAACTGGAGGGCCAGGTGCGACGTGGTGCAGCAGAGCGTGGAGCAGCAGAGTTGAAGAAGAATGAGTTCCAGGGGGAGATCCAGAGACAGAAGGAGCAGATCAGCCACATAGAAAACGCCTACAAGAGGCAGCTGGAGGGGGCCCAGGACACCTGCATCCAAGAAAAGGTGCAATCAGACACCACTGGCAGTTTAAGTCATCACAAAATGCATGTTAAACTGTTGTCTATGAACTGCAGCCGTAAAGGAATGTATAAAAACACTCATGACTGTAAACTGTATCGAGACATAGGAAGGAATATTGATAGCAGCTGTGCTTTTTGCTCTAGGCCACACTGCAACAAAACATTTCCTCCAGTACCAAAACCATACAGGAACTCAAAGGTAACTGCTAGCATTTAACCTCAATTTCTCAAAAACTGCCCAAAGCACTGAAAAAAAAAGTCAGTTTGTATCTGTCTATTAATGTCTTTTATGTTCGTGGACTGTAGGTCAGCTGAATCAGCTCAATGATGACTTGGGGAAGCTTCAGAAGGAGCTGCAGAGTTGCCAAGGCAACATCAACACCCTGAACAACAAACTCACCTATGACATGTAAGATTCCTTCACAGAATCATAGTCATACAAGTCTGAATTCTTTTATCTGTATTTAGTCACTTACAGCCTTCTTGATGTGAATAGTTGGCATGAACCAAAAACAATCTTTCACTCATCTTCAGCTACATAACATGCACATTAACCACTGTTGCTGCTATAATATATAACTTACATGTGTGTTTTTGTACACGTGTAGGACCCACTGTCACTCCCAGGTCCTGTCCCAGAAGGAGCTGTGTGATGAAAGAGTGGCTGCTGCTAAACTTGAATTTCAGAAGAAAATGGAGAAGCTCGTCCCTCCTCCAGGTGCCTCCTCGCAGGTTAGTTGGCTGTGAAGCAGGTGAAAGGATGTAAACCATGTTCATTCAAAAGAAGTAGTACATCTTTCCACAGAATTGTCAACAGAGCAGAGGGACAGGGTCGATTTAGCCATTTGGAACAAGTATAAATATTGACTATAAATCCTAATCAATGACTGCTTATGTTTGCTTTGTAGCCCATTTCACTCTGGGGATGGCATAAATACTATATCAATATATTGCACTCGATTAAAACTCTTAAACTGTTTCACAACACATTCGTTTGTATTTGACTGTGACAGCAAAAGGCATCGTGATGTCCTTAGCCACTCTTTGTAGAGGGGAAATAGATTATTCCTTCTTTTTCTGGCATGGGATGGACAACATTGCTGGCTTCATCAGTCTATTAAAGTGACAGCAGTCTGTCATTCAGGTCACTTTTACGTGAATGTCACAGCTTCATTCAGACAAAACTAGACATCAAGTAATTTATAATGCATAAAGATTCAATCTAAACTAATAGCAATCTTATCAAACAGTCCACAGAAGTAATAGCCTGGCTTATTTATGAGTTCCTATACACAGAAAATGCAGTCCCTGTGTGATGAAACTCTGACTGTGACAGAGCTCAGGACCTTGACGGCTCTAATGTAACAAACAGTAACTTATAAATGGTGACTGTGTGTGTGACAGCGCACCTGTCAGGTATGAAGAAAAGTGCACAGTGTGACTTGCTGTTAGATCCTGATCAATCCATTTCTAACTATAAGTAATTAATGAAGCTACTGCTTCTGTTTTTTTAATGTGCGTAAATGCTTTGGAGATGCTCACGTGGATCCTGCTGGTGTTTGATGTTAAAGGTATTCAATAAACTAAGAGGAAAGACATTTAAAAGCAACTGTAAGCAACAAACTAAGCTTCAGCTCCTGGATTACATTTATTATTAGTGAGTTTCATAAACCTGATCTCTTACTCCGCCTTCATTGCAGTAGAGTTTTGTTTTTGGACCAATATTAATGATGAAATGTGAAAAAAATCTTTTCCTAAATTGCTTTAAACACCTCAAATACATCACTCGGGCCTGTGTTAATTCAGCGGCATACTTGTGATGTGTTGAAAGTCATACATACGTTTAACTAGGTTCTAACTAGTTAGACTGCTGTCACAACTTCAGACATGAGGCCGGCTTGTTTAGATGCCATAAGATGTCAGGAAAGCAGTGCATGTCTGAAAGGGGCTTAAACCTGTTCAATCTTAACCTCAGTAGTTTGTTTACTGTGGAAATAAAATTGCCTTTGCTTGCATTTGTTAGTCCAGCCAAATCAAACAACAAGTAATAGGGAAAGAGCTTCTGATGCTTCACCTTTTCTACCCAGTTGTTTCTTCTATCTCTGTCGATGTGAAGGAACACGGATAAGTGATGTTTACTTCTCAGCAGGAACGTGCAGTGGATGGAGCAGTAAAAGAAGGCAAACCAGTTAAAGCTGCGCCGGATGGACTTCAACCAGCCACTGTTGTAAGCCACATACCAGGCCTCTCTGAGCCCAAAGGAAATGAACCAGCTGAACTCCTGACCAATGACATCATCGTGGACAAAGGTCAGTTTACTTAAGTGGCATTAAACACATAAAACCCAGGAATCACTCCATAATGTACATATTTGTATAATGTGTACTAGATGTCTGTCATGTCACCCAGGTCATGGTTATTCTCATAGTAGGGATATAATGTGTACTAGGCATTGTAAAATTGCCCCTAGGTGATAAATAAAGTTATTTGAACTGAACTGAATTGAGTGTATTCTGTGTATGTTTACATCTCTACATATTATTCCATGCTCGTGATTACAAATGTGACCTCACAATGCACTTTGCTTTCTGCCTTGTTATTTCCCCAGTTCCTGATGCTCCAGTGGAACTGCCCCGAACAAAGGTTCTCTCCAAAGCAGAGTCCGATCCCTCAGCTGCTGCAGTCAAGCAGGACGTTTTGCCACAAGAGGGAGCTGTCAAAACAGATGAGAGCGACGGGGAGACCATTAAACTTCTGAAGAATAATCTGACTGAGGACAAAGACATGGAGGTGATGGATGCTCATGAAGAGGGTGCTCAGACAGAAGGTAAAGAACTCAGAGAATGTGCTTTCCTACCAAGCAACATGCTCGCTGCCAAATGTTTGTCTTGACCCCATGACAGAGAAACACTGAGGTAAAGGATTATTTCCAAGTAACTGGATCCTGCTGGTCTACATAGCAGCTAGAAATCAGGATTAGATGTCAGGATAAAGCTGTTGAAACCACAGTTGACTGAGCTGACCGGTGTTGGGGTAGTTTAAACAAAAACAAATATATTTTCTCTATTGTTTATGCCACATTTATCTGCTGTTTGTGGCATACAGCTGTGAAGTGGGTATGCACAAAATTGATGTACAGCTCAATGTAAAAATGTGACATGGCTCTTGCATAGCAGCATGCCTAAGTTGGTGTTCATGAGTCATTTAAGGCTACATGTTGTCTGCCAGGTTCTTCTACTAGAGTCTAACAGGTAAAGGCTTCAGTTAAAAAGCGCATATTTCTCCCTCAGAGGTCATTTTTGAGAATCTCATTCTCCAGTGTCACATTCGTGTTATTTCTGCCTTGTGAATTAGCAGTTTGCAAGAAGAAGAGACCACTACGAATTTGTTATGTAAGCAGAGAGGGCTGCATATCCCACATAATTGCTTTTGCATATGTGTCTACGCCCTATTTGGAGTGTGACACATGGCTTAGAAAACAGGCCAGCTCACGGTTCACTGTGTAGCAGCTGTGATTGTCTATGTGTAGGCTATAAGCTGTCCTCACAGAGATGTTGTGATTTTTTTTTTTGTAAAACTAAGCTGTATTTACTCTTTTCAGAAGCAGACCCTGGAATGGAAGGCATGCTGATTGGTCAAGGGAAAGCGGATGAGACTCCTAATGATCAGAAAATTGAGGAACCAGATGAGTACGACGCAGATGAGCAAGTAGTGGGCGGAGTCGATTTGGAGAAACAACAGCAGAATAAACAGGCTGAGAATATAGGTGTGTATGTCTATGTAGAAGAAAACTGAAACGCATGTAGAGAAAACCTGGAAGACTGAATGTGATCCTGTTTGACCTTTATGAAGTACAGCTGACTATTTGAAGGCCAGAGTTAAGGTGTGAATGAGGGATGGTTATTTACTGCTAACGACAAGGAAGTAAATGCCCTGTGTTTTGTTAATAATCCCATTGTACTGTTTGATAGACAAGGACATGGAGGAGGAGCTGGCTGACTACAATGGGGATGACGAGAATGAAGGGGAGTTTGAAGCAGACAAACAAGCTGAGCTGGCTCAAATCTAAGGTAAACACGGAAACACACGCCAATGTTTTCCTCACTGGCATTCTGATACAGTAACTCAGCGTGCGACACATCGTCATCATTACGAATCACTTCCTGTCAGGTGAGGTTTTAGTTCAGACACTCACTGAGTGAAGTCTCAAACTGACTTCCAAAGTTGATCACTGTTTATTTTGAAAACAGTTCAGCAGCAGCTTTCACATCCACAGGAGACAATTGCAGTTATCCTTATTCAGGCTGAAACAGAGGTTTAGAGTTGTTTACTGCACCACTCCACTATACATTCCCTGGCTTCCCAAATGTATTAACAATGTTTTTTACTAGGTACAGGTTAGGGGTGGGCGATATGGCAAAAATATCATATCATGATTTTTTCATTATAAAATCACAATTTCGATTTTATCAGGATCTTACACGTAATAGTAAATAGTTGCAGTTTTGCCAACATGTGCAAAGAATGTAAACATAATTAAAGGTGCTGCTTCTGGCTGTCCTGCTGCCAGCGGTCCCGTCTCTGTTTGGCTCTCAGCATACTGTTTAGGGTGCTTTCTCTTCAAGTGATTGAACAAGATATTCGTGTTGCCATTCGGCATGCGAACCGTCTCTGTGCAAACTTTGCAAATTACCTTTGTTTGCGCTTTGTCATTTGGAGAGAAGCCAAAAGAATTCCATATAACAGAAGTGGAGTTTTTTTTAGCGACCAACAGCCATGGCTCTACATGGAGCTACCACGACACACACACTAACAAGGTGGCAGGTAGGAAATTGCGTCACTGCCCGTAATTCGCTATGATTGGTTGGTCAGGTTGGCAGCGTAAAACGTCTGGTGCGTCGGTGCATAGAACAGCAATTTATAGAATGTGACCTAACGATAGTGATGGGCAGATGAAGCCTCATGAAGCCTTGAAGCGTTCCACCTAATTGGTTCAAAAAAAGGTTCATTTCTCGAGGCTTCATGTGCACACAAGCCCCCCTACTGGTCAAAAAGTTTATTGTCATTTCAACTACTTGTGATGGCCTCTTGGCTGTCTTGCAACAGTGTCAGCATGGGAATAATCAGTGCCAAGGACAGAAATAAAAACACCTCCTTAATTTAATTTTGTGTGGTTGGTTCATTCATTCATCTAATCTGTTTTGATTAATTTCTGGATATTGATAATAGGTGTCTGTAAATGTTTAAAAAAAAACAAAAACAAAAAAAAACTTGCCAGTGTGATTTCAGTCAATGTTTAAATAAATCTAATAGGACATGGGATATTTATGTTCATACTATTGCAGTGTTTTTAAAAGATGGGACAATGATTGTGCTTGTGAATACTGGGGAGATAGTGGCTTTATTCATTTTTATTCAGAAACAATATTTTTTCCACTGTGTTCTAACGCGCACATTTTTCGGGGCTCCATTGCGCTTTATATGGTCATAAATCGCGCCAATATTCGAACCACTTCCTGAACCAGCGAGGCTTCAGACGTCATCGGTGACGTCACTCGCCCATAATGAAGCGAGCCTCGATACGCGCTTCATAAAAGACTTCCTGGATTTCTCGACACACGCTCCGAAGCCTCGGCACAGTACGTCCCATCACTACCTAACGAGCCACACGATCTCCTCACTTTGGCAGATCATCTACACGTTCTAATCCTTCACGATCTAATATCGTTGTGTCGAGTACCCCTAGTTCAGGACATAACAAAAGGAGAGTAATGTGTAGATAGCAGCGTAAATATTAGTATAGAGAGCAAGAAAGCAGAGAGCAGAATGTATAATTTCAGCTCTAATGAGAGCTTTCTTTAACATGCTGCCATTAAGTGAACAATTGATGAAGCAGTTGGCACATCCTTTCATTTGTAGCAGCTTTTCCTGTTGGACATTCAGATATTTTGTGTCTAACAGAATTTCCTTTTCTTGCAGGACTGGAGTTGGAGAAGGATCCTTCACACCACAGTAGAAACCAGGACCTATTTTACACAACAACAACAACAACAACAACAACATGCAGGTTAATGCAACCAGGAAACCACACTGAACAAAAAACAAATGGGAGTTTTTCTTATATCAAAGACTTGCTGGGTGATCAGTTTTAGCCTTTACTCACTGATATGACATTTATTTGTCATTTTAATTGGAATCGATATTTTCTCATCACCTTCTATTTAGTACGAGCAGAGAATTGCGAGCCACGGCTTAAGATGCTCAAGACTTTGACGCCAGTTGGATTGAAAAATCGAACACCTCATCACGTCTGGAAAATCTGTACATTTTGATGACGTGCTGACATGTGTTCACTACTTAACGGCTGTGTGTTGAATTACGTGCAGACCCTTATAGGGTTACGAGGTGTGAAATACTATAACAAGTGTAGAAGATGTGAGCGATCCCATCGACAGAGCGGCTCTGCAGCACAGGCCTCCTCTCTCTCAGAGGCTCGGCAGCATCTTAAAGCCTTAAGTTCTCCTCGACAAAGTCTCTTTAGTTTTCGGGTCACTGGTCTACTATCTGTTCAGTTGAGAATTTCCACGGCCGCAGAAATGTGCTGTAACTTTTGGTGATATCGCTGAGTCCGGTTGTGTTATTTTAAAGCTAAACCCAGTCAAATGGACGAATTAAAACTTGCTTTGAATTCCATGTTGCCATAAATGCTGTAAAGACTGGCTTAATGAACACATAACCGACGGACAAATCCACCCTCTAGATCCTGTGCTGTCAGGTTTTAAACATATTATATCGTTGCTGGAACAGAACTTTTGATTAATGTCCAATCATTTTTGAAGATGAATTGTTTTGGCATTTTAGTGGCTTTCATTCTGAGCTGTATGTCAGACCATAAAGAATCACATGCGTTCTACATTTAGGATTTGTAAGGCAGGGAGATAGTTTATTGTGAAAGGAACAGAGAATATTCGTAGATGAGCAGTCTTAGTAGTCGTAGTATTTTGACGCATGCCTTATTAATTCCGTACACTCCATCTTCCCCTTGATGGTCAGGTGCTTCCATCACAGTGGAGGTAGGATGTTGAGCCGTGTTACATGTTTACAGATCTTTCGACCTGCTCAGTTTGTGGTTTGTGGATGCTGATCTCCGGTCTGCTGAACCAAATTTTTTTTTTGTAGAGGAGGTGGTCTGAGAATCGCTGTGACGTTATGAAGGAAAATTCCTCGAAGCAGGAACAACGGGTCGTGCTTCACGGCCGCCGAAAACCAGTCGGTGTGAACTAATCGGTAGCTAAAATGTGTTTGAGGGGTCAAAGGAAATCTGCACTAAACTGGAAATTATTGGGGACGGTGCAAACGGTAGCTGAACGTAGATATCAGAAGTAGTTGAATTTCGTGGCGGGGGTTTTGTTGCCTTGTGTTTTTTATACAGGACATTTATTTTGCAGCTCAGGTGCTCTGCTCTATGTAGAAGTGGAGGATCTGGCTGCTCACCCACTGTGCTGTTGTTGTAATCTCTATTATTTTCATAATGCTTTGGTTATCATTCCAGGAGTTCTGCATCATATATTAGAAAGTTATCACCCTGGACCGCTGTTATTTGCCTATCTGAAACCTGTCTTGGTGAAAGTTGGTTACGGCACAATGGCTGTGTTTTACTATCAAAAGTTCCCTCTTTCATCTAGCCAGGCCTAATTTGAATTACTGAAAACTCTAGTATTCGTTTCATTCTTTTAAGGTTGAGGTTTCGTTCTTCACTGTCAGATCTGTGACAGTTTGGCTGCCTGACTTTATTCAGTTCCACAAACCTGTTTTATATAGATCCTGTGGTTTCATATGCAGTTTTCTTTAAATGCATACAACCTACAGAGTTTCTCTTTCGGCGAAGCCACAAAGACAACTTGACTTCCGCTCATTAACATTCGCTTCAGTGACGTACAGAATGTGTTGGCAACTTTCTGCTTCAAGTTTGTTTTTACTCGACTATTCGAGCTAAATGTCATTCTATGTTTCTACAAAATGCTGGACCACATGTGAAGAGTCCGTTTAGTCCTTCATCAAAACAACCGCTCCTTCGAGGAACTGAAAAATTGTCAAACTTTTCAAAGAAGAGTTCAACTTTTAAGTTTTCACCCCCCAACCAGTAACAAGGTAATTTATTTTTTATAATTTATATTTTTTGTTTTGTTTTTTTAAGACTCCTGTACATTTTTTTAGTCACAATACCCAAACACATACTGAATGAATGGGAGTGCTGATGAAGGATTGATGCTCAGGTAACTAAGTACATTTACTCAAGCACTTGAGTACAAATTGGAGGTACATGTACTTTACTTAAGTATTTCCATTTTGCTCTACTTCAGTTCTTTTTAATCACAGAGACAAATATTGTACTTTTTGACTAGATTTAACTGTTTTTTCCAATTTTTCATGTGAAAAATCTCCAGTTGGGGTCATTTTGAATCTCCCACTTCTTAGGCTACTATAAATAAACAATTTAATAACGCTGTTGGATTACCTAGAAAGGGCAGTGTTTGACTTTTTGAGCTGAGGTATGAAGGTCTCACAGGAGAGTGATGCCACCAACATGATGATCTTATAGAATACGGTACTTTACTGTAAATTAAACTAAAAAAAAAGTAGTTAGCGTTATTTAAACCCTAACCTTATACAGAATAAGTGATATTAATCCAAAAACACTGTCTGTAATGATAATAATAAAACATTGACGAGAACCATGGTGAGTACTTTAATTTTCCTGATCTGATAATCCATACTTTTGCTAAAGTAACCCTTCAAAATGTGAGGTTTTTACTTGTCGTGGAATATTTTCATCGTGTACTTTTATTGAAGGATCTCTGTCACCACTGAGGGTTCTCATTAGTCCTCCAGCAGCACTCCTAAAATAACGAACAACATCCCTTTTGTCTGCCTTTCTCACTTTAGCCCATATCACAGGAGACATATTTTACTGATATGCGTTTTTTTTTCTCCTTCCTCCGTATAATCTTATTGCTGTTATGTTGTGTTTGTCTGACACTGCGAAGCTTGGACAACTGCTGCTTTGTCTGCCTGTTTGTGTAAAAAGTCTCATTTTCTGAACTAGAATTTTGTTGACCTGGAGAGGAAATGTTTCATGATTTTTGTAAGTTGAATTAACTTTTTGTTTTTTCTTCTCTGTCGTTGATTTGATTTGTTAGAATTTGTATTTTATTTAATTCTGAACTGCTGAACAAAATTGTGAAGGGTTTAAATAATCATAGCCTTTATTGACAATAGAGAATAAAGATTGTTTTTATTACCACTGTCACGACACGGCTTTGTGTGCAGTTTGTTTGGTTGTAAACTTGTGATGGATGTTAAAACAAAAAAACATATGACATTTATTTTTAAGTATTTTACATGCACTTCTTTAATACACTATATGTTATGTATAGGATTAATAATGACATATAACAACTATTCACCAGCACACATGATTTAATATGAAAAAAGTTGCATTGCTTTGGTTAAAAAAAGCTTCCACAGACTTGTAGGAGAACACGTTGTACATATCTAGACTATCTAGTTTGGCATCCCAGCATATTTCAACAGAAATGCAAATAAGAAGCAAAGCAGTCAAAAGAAAATTAACACCTGAGCGTGATCATATTTACTCTGAAAGCATTTCTCTCCA